CAGAGCATCTGTTCCCCATGGTTGTAGGGTCAATCACGAGAGAGCATAGTTTTAGAGTAAGGGGCAGGAAATTTGGATGGGATTTGGGCACAAACCTTTTTACTTAGCACATGGTGGGAATCTGGAATGCACTGCCTGGGAAAGCCGTAGAGGCTGGGAATTTTTCAACCTTTAAAAAATATTTGGATGAGCTCTTGTTATGGGTCAAGTGCAGGAATTTGGGATTAGTGCACCATTAGTGGTAGTTATGTTGGTGCAGACTCAATGGGCTGAAGGGTCTTTTCTGCGCTCTATGATTCAACAATTTAGACAGATGCTCAAAAATAAATGTGCAAGTACAGGAAATCCTAGTGTGTGGCTGCAGTTGAAGTTGCAAATACGTCAATTAAAATTGCCAGAAGGAACATTCTGTTTCTTGAAGATCACTTTGAATATTCACTGCACAGCAAACAAAGAAATTAAACATTGCAGAGTTGAAATCGCCTCTTGGATGCTGTACCACATTTATGAAGAAAAACTATTTTTACTGTGAGAGAAGACCAAGATTTCATCATATTTTCCACCACGACTCGATGACAGGGTTACTGCATTCCCGCAGTTTATAATCAAACATTGACAAAAGAATGGATACAGATTGCCCTGTTCTCGGACCATGGATGGAACATGGATGAAATTCCCATTTGCAAAAGTGAGTGAAGTTGGAGAGGAAACAATGTTAATGAAGACGACTTCCCGTGTAAAGAGTAGATTCATAGTTGCACTGTGGAAAATGCCTGATGAGACAAAGTTAAGCCTAAGAGAAGATAACTTGCAAAACAGCAATTCCTGAAAGAAGGGCTCATCCATGTTCATGATAAGGATGGATGGATAAAGGTTGTTAAAAATATGGCTGTGGAAAGTATGTAATCCTCCTGGTCAGAAATTATAAAAAGAAAAATATCTTCTCTCTGGACATGTTCAGGTCACATCTTGTCCATGTTGCTGTTGCTGAAGATTGTGAAATAGTTTTATTGCTGCGTGGTTCATAGTGGTGTAACCAATCTTGTTCAACCATTGGAAGTCTCTCTAAAAGACCCTTCAAGGATTGTCTGAGTAAAAGTGGAATGACTAAGCGTTTATATACATTCACCAAAGGAGGCAGAACATCAAAAACAAAACAGAAGTAACTCAGCAGGTCTGGCAGCATCTGTGGAGAGAAAGCAGAGTCAACATTTCAGATCTAGTGACCATCCTTCAGAACAGCATGTCAACTCTGACATTAGCAGTTCTGTGTGAGTGGTTTGTAGAACCTGGACTGAAAGCAGAATTGAGATTACCATAAAATCATTCAAGAAATGTGAAATATCTAATACACTTGATGGCATAGAAAATTTCAACATTATTTGCTGAAAGATATGGTCTATAATGACATGACTAATGAAGATATTGTTCATGACCAGGTTGAGAGGATTATTTAGTTCTGAAGATGGGGCGGATGGGTTTTTTTTTTTTAAATTGATGTTCATGCATGTTCAGTGCATGCTCCTCTGAAAAATAATATTTTCTATACTTTGAAAAAACTGAGTGAAATTGTATTTGTTTTTGTTGTTTGATAAATTTAATGAATTTAGTGTATACAATTAACGCCTGACTCCAGGGAGTTTATTTTAGATTGATAAATAGAAATGTAATAGTTATAATACTTGCGGCTTCTTTTGCGCTAATTTTGGGGACAGGGTTGATGGGATCTGTCTTCAGCGTGGCAGCTGCAATAACAAGTTGATGGGAGAGGGTGGATTTCAGCCTCTCCGAAGTGTTCCTCTTATTTTCAACAGTGCCTGTATTGCTATCCCAGCTAATTTGTTCGGTGAAGAATATAGTTGCTCAAAATGAGATGCTACAGTGTGTATTGGAGACATTTTGACAAATGCTTTGAGCTGTAGTTGCTTATAACATGCAACAGGTTAAATGGCCATGTGCGCAGTGGGCTGAGCTCTGTGCTACTTTGGGACCAGTCTGCAGGAGGGTTGGGGAGGTGGCACAATATTGTATGTAATGCCAAGGCTAAAGAACCATCTCTCCCTGTCTCATTGCAAATTATGTCATATGCAATGGAGGCCAGCAACAAATGGGAAACCTGACAGCTTTTACTTCATGGCTGAGTGATGAACAAAGGAGACTGAGGGAGGTTTAACTCCTTTACAAACCAATTTCAGGACCTGTCTTGAATGCCTGTTGTCCACCTCACTGTCAAAGTCTTCTATAACCCTCCAGCTTCTGAAGCCAGCTCTGCCTGCTCATCTCCCCAAAAAGGTCCACAAGAAATGCTTTGGCTGCAGTCACAGATTTGGCCACCCTAGTGGTGCAACCACCAGACCAGAGAGAGGTGAGAAAATCCTGCTTCAAGCCAATTAACACCCTACCAAGCAATAAATGGATGCAGAGAAACTTATCGCAGCAAGAACAGGCTCACAGCCAACATGGAGTGGGGGCTTGTTCGCAGGGACTTGACACAACTTAAAATTCTGTCCATGGTTCCTGCAAAACATGCAGCAACCTCTCATGTAAATTAATGCATGTGCAAAAGAATCTACACTTTATAGCATATCAGCCTACAATTCCCTATTTCCCTTCATTTTTGAAACCACTTTAATTGCATTATGTTCTTCACAAATTATTCATCTATTTTGTCAGTTTATGCACATTTTTTATTATTTATGTGTAAAAGATTTAATTTAATATAAATTGTCTCAACAAAGGTATATCAAAATATATAATGCAATGCTCTTATGCTTTTTTGAAGTATTGTTATCTAAAATATTTTTTATGCAGAATTAGGATGTTTTGTGCCCAGTAGAGGAACTGTGCTTGGATAGAGGTTTACGTTTATGTCTGTAATATTGGAGAACGAATAGGAAAGGGAAATCATGGTAATAAGTTGCCAACCACTACTTTAATGATGGAAACGTTTAATTTTTAGAAAATTAAAATTAGAAAATTATTTTGCTTTATTAGTATATTTCATTTTAAATTTACCTGTCGGTAATTGCACATGAATCTGCTTACTGCTTTAAATACCCTGTTCTGAGGAAGGTCACCGGACCCGAAACGTTAATTCTGTTTTTTCCTTCGCAGATGCTGCCAGACCTGCTGAGCTTTTCCAGTAATTTTGTTCTTGTTCCTGATTTACAGCATCTGCAGTTCTCTCGGTTTTTATACCGCTTTAAATTACTTGTTAATCATCAGTCAGAGAATATGATATTGTGTCACCAGGTGACACTCCAGTGATAAATTTAAATGAGATCACCACTTTAAACTAAAGAATTATGAAAGAAGGCTTATGATGTGTTGTCTCCATCCAGGATCCAGAGAGCAAACATCATAATTGTCATCTGGCCTAAACTCTCCTTATGGGACTTTGTGTTAAAATTTTTTGATTATGCTCCTGCAATGCATCTCTGAATGCTTCAAAATGTTAATGGTGCCTAATAAGTGATAGTTGTTTTCTTTTTACTCATTCATGGGATCAGGGTGTTGCTGGCTAAGATGCCCTTCCCTGATTGCCCATAGGGCAGTTAAGAGTCATCACGTTGCTATGGGTCTGAAGTCATATGTAGGTCAGGCCAAGTTTCCTGCCCTGAAGGACATTAGTGAACCCAGATGAGTCTTTCCTGACAATTGACAATGGATTCATGGTCATCATTAGACTGTTAATTCCAGATTTTTATTGAGTTTGAATTCCGCTATCTGCCATGGCAGCATTCAAATTCCCCAGATCTCCAGAACGTTACCTGGGTCTCTGGATTAACACTCCAGTGATAATACCTCTAGGCCATCACCTCCCCTTGTTGCTGCAGTCATCTAGATGAGTAGTGTTGGACTTTAAGTCCCTTAAAATATACATTTATGAATCTGAACAACTGGATGTCTGCATAAGAAAAACCGAAAGAACTATGGATGCTGTAAATCAGGAACAAAAACAGAAGTTGCTGGAAAAGGTCAGAAGATCTGGCAGCATCTGTGAAGGTAAAAACAAAGCTCATGTTTCCTCATTTTTGAGGAAGGGTGACCAGACCTGAAACGTTAACTCTGATTGTTTCTTCACAGATGCTGCCAGATCTGCTGAACTTTTCCAGCAACTTCTGTTTTTGTGTCTGTGTAAAAAGTTGTACTTTGTCAGTTGGATGATATTCTCATTAAATTTTATTGACAAACAAATTACTTTGATTGGTTTTGCTACTGCACGCCCATGGACAACATTAGTCAGACAGCTAAATTATTATAACAGTTACCAGTGGGCATATATAGTTGAGAGTTGCAATTTATTTTTTGCAGACTTCTTGGTATGTTCTTTGGTTAGCATGGCAGGTGAAGGGACTATTTGGTGAGAAAATTGAAGCAGTGTTACAAATTTTGAATAGGCTCCAGCAGAGCCATTTTCGAAATAACACAAATAGGTTTTCCTCTTTTTTTGTTTCAATCTAAATAATTGGTCAGAGTGAATAAGGGAAAGCCAAACGCAGAAATTAAATGCCCATAATACAGCATGCTCAATTTCCAATCCTGCAGTTATAAAGACAGGAAGTGTTAGGCCATACTTAAAGGTATTATTCTTCTGCTAACTTAAGGGATGTACCTTTAAGACCATAAGACATATTTGCTATTGAGTAATCAGTGCCTTGGATTGATCCAGATTTACTTTTTCTACAAAACATTGTGTTTTGACCCTTATATAGCTAAAATGACACGATATTTTAATTTTTTTCACATGAATATGATTATCATTTTTGGTCAAAGTCTGCAAATCATTAGACTGATAATTCCAAATTTTAAGGAATTCTACTTCCATGATCTGCCCTGGCAGGATTCAAACCCAGGGCCCAGGAACATTACCTGGGTCTCTGGATTAACACTCCAGTGATAATACCACGAGGCTGTCACCTCCTGTTGAATGAACTGTTCATTAATACAAAAGCCTGTGAGGAGCTAATACCCTGAGTTAATTTCTTTTCCTTTTCCAGAGAAAAGAACAGATAAGTCTGCAGTCTCTGGTGCTATTCGACTGCAAATCAGTGTTGAAATCAAAGGTGAAGAAAAGGTCGCCCCCTATCACATCCAGTATACTTGTCTGCATGAAGTAAGTTTAGGACGTGAGAAGTATGATTGAATGAGAGTGGAAATGAGCTGTTATAAAATGTTAATTTTGAAAAGTGATTAATGATGTGTAGTCCTTATGAACACGTAGTTCTCGATGTTGAATGTCAATTGTCCAATCCAGAGTTTAAGATTGAATTAGCTGAGAAAGTAAAGCACAACCAATTTGATTATCAACTGAGCCTTAAAATTAGACCTATGATTTAACTTGTAAAACCTGATGATGTGTATTTTTTCTAGTCTTTTACAAATTTGATGTTACCTTGATAATGCTTTATAATATTGTGACATGAAATTATTTTGAAAGGTCAAATCTAATTTTTCAAGTTAAAGCGTGAATAAGACACTGCATTTGAATATTGATCTTTCATATTGGGATCTGAATTCACCTAAATTATGATTGATGGAATTAGTAGTATTTGTGTCTCGTTCTGTCTTTCACTTGTGCACACTCCCTCTCTCCTGCCCCACAATGACTTGCAGGTTCAGAGCTTATAATTTGTAATTCTCCAACAGGTAAGCACACAAAACAACTAGCATGAGACATGAGAACATGTTTAAAAGATTCACACAGATTTTGTGTTGAAGTACAGAGAAGGAAATCTTAATTCCACATTGCACCTTGTTGGACCTAATCTGATTGATTTATTGTTGTCACATGCTCTGAGATGCAGTGAAAAGTGTTGTTTTGTTTGCTATACGGGTAGATTGTACCATACAAAGTACATTAGGGTAGCAGCACAGAGTACAGAATATAATATTACAGCTACAGAGAAGGTGCAGAGAGAGAGAGATTAGAATTAACATTTGAGAGGTTGATTCAAAAGTCTGATGACAGCGGAGAAGAGGTTCTTGATTCTGTTCAGACGTGTATTCAAACTTTTTTATCTTCTGCCTGCCGGAAGAGGGTGGAAGGGAGTATAACTAGGGTGGGAGGGATCTTTGATTCTGTTGGCTACTTTCCAGAGACAGCTAGAAGTATGGAAGGAGTCAATGGATGGAAGTCTGGTTTGCATGATGGACTTGGCTGTGTTCACAACTCTCAGTAGTTTCCTACGGTCTTGGGAATAACGGTTGCCATAACACACTGTTATGGATCCAGATAGGATGTTTTCTATGGTGTATCCATAAAAATTGGTAAGAAATCTTGTGGACATGCCGGATTTCCTTAGCCTCCTGAGGAAGTAGAGACATTGTTGTGCTTTCTTGACCTTCGTGTCGACGAGGGGTAGACCAGGACAGATTGTTGGTGATTATCACTCCCAGAAACTTGACGCTCTCAACCATCTCCACTTCAGCACAATTGATTCAGACTGTGGCGTGCCCTCCACTCTGCTTCAAGAAGTCAATGATCGGCTGCTGCATTTTACTGACATTTATGGAGAGATGGTTGTCCTTACACTATGCTGCTAAGCACTCAATCTCTTTCCTGTATTCTGTCTCGTCATTGTTTGAGATCCGACCCCAATGGTGGCGTCATCAGCAAATTTGCAAATGAGGTTGGGGCAGAATTTGGCGACACAGTCATGTGTGTATAAGGAGTATAGTAGGGGGCTGAGTATGCAGCCTTGCAGGACACCAGTGTTGAGGATTATGGTAGAGGATGTATTGTCACCTATTCTTACTGATTGTGGTCTATAGGCCAGGAGAATCCAGTTACAGAAATGGGAGCCAAGACCTAGGTCTCGGAGTTTAGAGATGAGTTTGTTCGGAATTATAGTATTGAAGGTGGCACTGTAGATAATAAGAGGGAGCCTGACGTAGGTATTCTTGTTATCTAGATATTCCAGGGATGAGTGTAGGGCCAGGAAAATGGTGTCTGCTGTGAACCTGTTGCGCTGGAAGGGAATTTGCAAAGGATCAAGGCAGTCTGGGAAGCTGGAGTTGATGTGAGCCATGACTAACCTCTCAAAGCACTTCATTATTATGGAGGTCAGAGACACTGGGTGGTAGTCATTGAAGCACACTGCATGATTTTTCTTTGGCACAGAGATGATGGTGGTCTTCTTGAAGTGGGTGAGGACTTCAGATCATTGTAAGGAGAGGTTAAATATGTCTGCGAATACTCCTGTCAGTTGGTCCATGCACTATCTGAGTGCATGGCCAGGGACTCCATCTGGGCCATTTGCTTTCTGTGGGTTCAATCTCAAGAAGGCTGACCTAAAATATGTGGCGATGACCACAGGTACCCCACGGTCCGAGGCTGTTGGGATAGATGACATTGTTTCACTGACTTTCTGTTCAAAGCAAATGTAGAATACATTGAGCTTCTCAGATAAGAATGTACTGTTGGCCACGATTCTGTTCGACTTCACTTTGTAGGCTGTTAGGTTGCATAAAGCTTGCCAAAAACCATGGGTGTCTGTATAGTTGGTCTGGGTCTCAAGCTTAGTTTGGCATTGCCTCTTCATGTCTCTGGCCTTACAAAGTTTGCACCTGGATTTCCTGTATATATCAGGCTTGCCCACTTGTACGTCTCAGACCTGGACTTCAGTAGGGAGTGGATCTCCCTGTTCATCCATTGCTTCTGGTTGGTGAACCTTCAGATTAACTTCTTCAACACGCAGTCTTCTACACACTTACTAGTGAAGTCTGTAATGGGAGTGGCATACTTGTTTAGGTTGGCTGCTGAATTCTTGAATATGGACCAGTTTTCCAAGAGTATACTGGGGAGGGGGGAGATTTGAAACCCCCAAGTTTCAGTCTCACCTGAAGTCCAGCACATCTCCCACATTTCCTGGATAGGTGGCAGCTCCTAGTTGATCTCGGGCATCAGTGAAGAATGCCTGTTGCTCCAAGAGGTAAGTGTGTGCTCCTGAGGGGTCGTGGGCACCAGTCATGGCCTTGAGTGTTCTGGGGTTCTTGTGGCTAGTTTGGTTGGGCCTCCTCAATGTCTGGTCACTGTGTGTTCAAGTCTTATTCCTGCACTGGTCGGGCCTTGGTACTGGGTTTCCACAAGGAGGTCAGGCTTGCAGGAAACCAGTAGTTCCCTTAATTCCAGTGGGCTTGTGGTTCCAGTGTTGATAATCAAGTCTCGTCAGTCATAGGATCTTTAAACCTGAAAGTAGGTTTAATAATTCTGATCAACTTAGAATTGAGGGTATAAGATATGTAAGAATAAGATCTGCAGTAGACAGCTCGCAAAATGTCGCCACGCTCTGGCGCCATCTGGGATTGTCAGTTCCTGACAAGAGGGTGAAGAATTTTGCCACAATGGAGACCCCGTTGGAAAAATAGCAAAAGACATTCAAAATTCTAAGTCCAACGAATGATCCAATTTCACATTTTGATGAGAGTGGGCTGTCGTTCATAAATGAGTAGTTCCTGAGGTAGTTGGTCACTTAAATGATCAGCTGTCTCCACTCAATTCAGATTTTAGAATCATTGGTGTCTGGAACCCAAAGTATGGAGATTAGATAAGCTAAGAGCAGTCTCTCCTGTGCTTTTTTTTTAAGGATAGCCAGGCTATCCCTTTAGAGATGTGAGATATGCCTGTGCATATACTCTCAAAACCTGGAGCATGAAGTTCAGATATCATTTGTGGGTTCAGATTTCCTTTGGGATTTTTAAACCATGGAGAATATTGTGTGCAAACGGTGCATAAACCGAGTTGAACTGTCCAGTAGCATTGAGAGTTTCAAGAACTGTCAAAATATGTTTTTTTTTAATGAGTCAGAGTGCTTTTCACAGTAGAGTGTAGTTTATTAGAATTAGAATTAGCTTTATTATCACAACTACTCAAATAAGTACACTGAAAAGTATACAAATCACTGCTTTCCGTGCCATCTTAGGTACAAAGGTCCCTAGGTACAGCTTTTTCAGTTAGTTTTTGGAAAAATAGAGAAGTAAAAATGTCAAACATTGCAGATTTTAGGAATAAATTATAAAATGGAGAAAAAAGTGTTCAGAACAACAGTCCATGCTGGCAGCTAGCCTCCAGTCCGCACAGGCCAGGCCATGAGACACTACCACTTACCGCCCAAAGGCCACCACGCTGGGCTGCTGGGAGACCACCACGCCAGGTCTCTGCTGAGGATGGGAGTTCTGAGGCCAAGAGTTCCAAGGCTGTGAGGTTCGAGGCTAGGGGTTCTGTGGCTGTGAGGTCGGGGACTAGGAGGAGCAAGGCCAGGAAGAGAGAAGAGGAAGAAAGAAAAGACAAAAGAGGGAAAAAGAAAAAAAACAAAAGGAACAGGTGGAGTAGTATGAAAGTTTACGTAATAGAAATTTATTCTTCTCCTCCGTGTAAATGGGTACATGTAGTTAGTAAGAGAGATAGTATGAACTGCCGAAGCTGGAGAATCTGAGATAACAAGGTGTAGAGCTGGATGAACACAACAGGCCAAGCAGCATCAGAGGAGCAGGAAAGCTGACGTTTCGGGTTGAGACCCTTCTTCAGAAATGGGGGTGGGGAAGGGGATTCTGAAATAAATAGGTAGAGAGGGGGAGGCGAATAGAAGATGGATAAAGGAGAAGATAGGTGGAGAGGAGACAGACAGGTCAAAGAGGTGGGGTTGGAGCCAGTAACGGTGAATGTAGGTGGGGAGTTAGGGAGGGGATAGGTCGGTCCAGGGAGGACGGACAGGTCAAGGAGGCGGGATGAGGCTAGTGGGTAGGAGATGGGGCTGGGTCTTGAGGTGGGAGGAATGGTTAGGGAGGCGGGGACGAGCTGGGCTGGCTTTGGGATGCGGTCGGGGGAGGGGAGATTTTGAAGCTTGTGAAGTCCACATTGATACCCTTGGGCTGCAGGCTTCCCAAGCGAAATATGAGGTGCTGTTCCTGCAGCCTTTGGGTGGCATCATTGTGGCACTGCAGGAGGCCCAGGATAGACATGTCGTCCAAGGAGTGGGAGGTGAGTTAGCATGGTAGATGAAGGAGAAGCAATGTTGGTTGAAAAGTTGGCACGGGGGTATGAACGCCATGGGGTTTGGGTAGAGCGACGTAGGGGATGGTATTAGGTGGCATGGATAGGGCATGGGAAGTGAGGAGAATCTGAGACATGAGAGAAGAGGAAAATTTAATATTTGTTCTTTTATTTTGACTTTTGGAGATAGTGCTGATACCCTACGGTAGGCTTTCCACCCAGCTCATCTTGAGAACTGGCAGGCCAACTCCCAAATCACACCACAACCGAGACCAAAAATGGGATTTGCAGGTTGGATTCACAGAACCGGGAGTTATTCCACACCTGCACACCAAACCCTGGAGTGAAAATTGGGGCATAGGAACCTAAATTTGAAACATTCCATTCCTAGTCACTGGTGTTCTTTACTCGAATGACCACACAATTCACCAAGTAATGTAAATTCAGAGAGAATACAGAAGAACAAAGAACAAAGAAAATTACAGCACAGGAACAGGCCCTTTGGCCCACCAAGCCTGCACCGATCCAGATTCTCTATCTAAACCTGTCGCCTATTTTCCAAGGATCTATTCCCTGCCCATTCATGTATCATCTAGATACATCTTAAATGATGCTATCGTGCCCGCCTCTACCACCTCTGCTGGCAATGCATTCCAGGCACCCATCACCGTCTGCGTAAAGAACTTTCCACGCATATCTCCCTTAAACGTTTCCCCTCTCACCTTGAAATCGTGACCTCTAGTAATTGAGTCCCCCATTCTGGGAAAAAGCTTCTTGCTATCCACCCTGTCTATACCTCTTGTGATTTTGTAGACTCCAATCAGGTCCCCCTCAACCTCCATCTTTCTAATGTAAATAATCCTAATCTACTCAACCTCTCTTCATAGCTAGCGCCCTCCATACCAGGCAACATCCTGGTGAACCTCCTCTGCAGAAATTACTTGAAAATTTGATTCAGCTCGTCTGGTGAGATGCACCTAAAACAATAGGTCTAAGAATATAGCTGGAATAAAGAGACTGCATTTCCAAACATAAGGCTGTACATTCTAGTCGTAATTAAGTCAATTCTGTCTATGATATTCATTTTTTATTTGAGCCTTAGAGATCGTGATTCAAGTTCTTCAGATTTTTAGGACAGAATATCTGAGGAAAACCTTTGCATTATGAGCCTGTGGAGTTTGTGATTGAGGTTAAAGAAAACAAGAGTAAAGATATGTGGCAACACGGCTGGTACATGGGAGATGGACTTTTTGAGTGCCTTTCATATTTGAAACTTTGTAGTAAAAATGTCATTTAGTTCATTTGGCAGATGGTGTTCAGTTACGTATATAAATATATCGTGGCAGACAGTTCTTGCTATTGATATTTGCTAATTTGAACCTCCTTTGATTTTGCAAATAATGTCTAGTTCACCATTAGGTGTAAAAGTCAGCAGTCACCCCTGTGCTCAGTCTGTTTATCAGGGATGTGGTTGAGCCCCATAGATAGCAATTTGCAAGTTCGGTCCTTTATCAAATCAATTTATTGATCTTAGTTGTATGTAAAGAAAGTTGTTACAGCCAACATCAATGCACCTGCAGCTTGCATTTGTAGCATTTTAGGGTAAGGATCATTTAAATTCGGATTTATCAAGGAAAACTGCGAAATGCATTTTTTAAAAATTCGTAAAATCTTTCAACTGTTCCCTGACGTATTATCTTTCCTAAAGTGAATCAAGCTTGCCTGCCAATACCATCCTGTCCCTGTTGGTATGCCTGAATCCATCATCATGGCTGAACCTCATGAATGTCTTTCCAGTATTTCGAACTGCATGTGGAAAGGTTGTTTCCCTTTGCAGAAGTCTCTAGGACCTGAAGACATAGTCTCAGAGTAAGACTGTAAGACAGAGATGAAGGTAGTCACACTGTGAATTCTTCACTGCAGAGGGCTTTCGAGGCTGTGACATTCAGTATCTTTAAGATGGAGATAGACATATCTTTAATTAGTAAGGAAATCAAGAATTATAGGGAAAAGGCAGGAAAGTGGAGTTCAGCATTTTGACAACAATCATGATCTCATTGAATAATAGAGCAGACTCAATGGGCTGAATGGTCCATTTCTACTCCTATATCTTATGGTGTTATGGTCTGTACTTAGCCGAGGATTTAGTAGACTGGCAGGCTTAAACAGAGTTTTTGGTTTTCTCTATTAAATGACTTGTTGGTTGTCATGTCTCATGCATAATGTTAATTTGAAGAAAGGCTAAAGCCCACTGACATTGATGTAATATCAAAAGTTACACAAATTATAACACCTTGAATCTGTAAAGGACCTCTACTGTAAAGGAAACATCTTCACGCGCTTAACAATAAGAAAGAAAGATTGGACACCTGTATGTGGAAATGAGTAAAGAACAAAGGTTTTAAATTGCGCATCAAACTCTGTTTGAAAGCTGTGAGTTCTTCTGACCTGAACTGTTAATTCTGTTTCTCTCTCCATTGATGTTGTCTGACCTGCTGGATATTTCTTTGTACTTTCCATATCCACAGTATTTTCTTTTGTTTATATGAGAGAACTATCAACTTTAATTGCCGGAAATTCCCTAGATTCTGGAAAGAAAATAGTGAATGTGACTTCTGTCTTCAAGAAAGGAGTGAGGCAGGCAGGAAACTACAGGCCAGTTTGCCTAAATTATGTCATAGAGTATAGCTGTAATCTGTTATTAAGGAGGTTCTGGCAGGCACTTAGAAATTCTCAGTGAAATCAAGTAGAGTCAACATGGTTTTGTAAAAAAGAAATCGTGTCTGACTATTTATTTAGAGTTCTTTGGGAAAGTAGCAAGCAAATGTAGATAAAAGATAAAAGTCAATGTACTCTCCTTAGATTTTCAGAAGGCATTTGGCAAGTGTCACATCAAAGATTACAATGCAAAATAAGACTTGTGATAAAGTGGATAACATATTAGCATGGATAGATTATTTGGTTAATGAAAAACAGAGGGTGAGCATGACTTTTGGGTTGGCACAATGTGAGGATCAGTGTTGGGACCTAATTTATTTAGTCTATGTAAATGATGTGGAGGAAGGTACCAAAAATATGTTTGCTTTTTTGCTGATGATACAAGATTAGGCAAGAAAGTAATTATGAAATGGATATTAGGAGTCTACAAAGAAATATAGATAGTTAAATACGTTGGCAAAATGTTAGCGTGTGGCATATACTGTGGAAAAACTTGAATTTGTCCACTTTAGGAAAATAAATGCAATTGGAATCACTACTTAAGCAATACAATATTCTAGGGATCCCTACTTTCATACTCAGTGCTTGGTCTTGCTAAGAAATGCCTGATATTTGTCTGAGGTAGCAAAAGTGGAAGCTTTCACTCCTTTTTGTTGACTTGCATAAGTTGTCCATGCTTTGTTATTGTAAAGGAGGGTACTGAGAAACTAAACCTGATACACAAGAGTTTTGCATTTTTGGTTAGCTTCCTATTGGCCCACACTCAAACTTTAACTTCAGTTTGACAGCTGTGGTCTTGGCAATGCTGGTCGTGACATCAGAGAACAGGTTGCTGGTGATTGTTGATCCAAGATAATGTGGGCTGTCAGTGAACTCTAGAGTGAGATCAACAATGTTGATATAAGGATAGAATCTCTATGTGCTGACCTGTTATTTTGGTGGTCTTGTTGATTGTCAGTCCAAATTCCTTGCAGGGCTGTGAGAATCAATCTACAAAATATGACCAAGCAATACAATCATAATAACTCGGATTGCTTCTTAAAACTTCATTGGGTGCCGCACCTATTTTAAATACTGAGCTTATCATCAACAAATGGAGAATATTTCATTCTCTGTATTACTTGCTCTGCTATTGAATGTTGTTTAATACTGAGCTTCTCATCATATTTTACAGAACCTTTTCCACTCTCTCACAGACCTTCAGAGTAGTGGTGTTGTGAAAATACCAGATGCAAAAGGTGATGATGCATGGAAGGTTTATTTTGATGAGACTGCACAAGAAATAGTAGATGAATTTGCAATGCGTTATGGAATAGAATCCATTTATCAGGCAATGACGTAAGTTTTAAAACACAATTTTTAGGAAGATTGTTAATAACTGATTGGTAAAATATAACCTGAGCATTTCTGTTCATGACCAAACAGTGTAACAAATGGAGTAGGATTGCAATGTCATACAGCTTAAATGAAATTTTAGTAGTTGCACAGTTATGTCATAATTTGCGTGTTTATAGGTATAATATACTAAAAACAGAAATTAATCCTGACCTTTACTCAGAGTAGCATTTGGCACTGGGTAGATAGGAAGGTGGTAACCTATTCCAGTCTTGAGGTTGTCCCATGGACCAAAGTCACAGGGAGGGGTATTCTGGAAGAGTGATGGAGAACCTAAGACAAGGAAGCCTAAACTTCTCCTTGGGCACGAGAAGCATTCTTTCTTCCAGAAGGAAAGCAAAGTTAAAAGATTTAACATTTTGGTCTTCTAGCTCCATTCTTCTTTGGTTAGGTAAACCTGGCAGGTCACAAAGGTTTTTCTATCTATTTAAGTTAACACTTCAGATTTTATGACAATCTACATATTTAATTAAAGATTCTGCTGATTTCCCAGTGGATGTCTTTCTCACCTGCTGAGACAACATCTTAAAATGGATTGTGGAAAGGGCTTAGGATGTTGGCAGGTAAGTCAGGCAATTTGATCTGCCTGCCTACCTGGTTTCCATTAGGTAGGTAAGATTAGAACTACTCTTGATATTTTTGGCTTAACGGGGATGAAGAAATAACAAACTCAATTTCTCAGGCTTTTTCTGCAATTTTCAAGTTTCTTGTCTGTGGAAAGGAAGTTCATATCAAGGACTTGTTCATTGATGAAACCACAGAAAAGCTATACAATGCAGATACTTCAAATTGAAACTGCTGAAAGAAGGTTTTCAACATCAGTCTGAACAACAAGATGAATATTTTTAACGTGATACATGTTGAGCTAAATGGATATCTTTCATCAAAATGATGAAAGAATTGATGTACTGAAGAAGTTTTCACCTGAAGTGTTGATTTTTTTTTTCAGATGCCAACTGACCTTGTGTTACTTACAATTTTTTTAATATGTATTAGAACTCAAAATGAAGTTTCTTTATCACCATGAATAATGTTGCAATTTTAGGTTCTGATGGCAATATTTGTAAGATATAGCAGTAAACTTAAAACCTATTTTTTTGTTGTGAGTTTTGTATATTATATACCTAATTTTATGCTTCTGCTATTGCAGGCATTTTGCTTGTTTGTCTTCTAAATACATGTGCCCTGGAGTGCCAGCAGTAATGAGCACCTTGTTAGCCAATATCAATGCATACTATGCACACACCACTGCCTCTACCAATGTATCTGCCTCTGATCGCTTTGCTGCATCAAATTTTGGGGTATGTTCCGTATACAGTTGCCTTCGATGTTACAACTTTTATTTTTGTTTTTCATCAGCTGTTTTCTTTCCACTCTGCTCTCTTTTCAATGTTGTACTCAGTTTACAATTTAGGGGGTGTAGGAGAATATTGCACAGGCAACTTTGTCCAGTGTATTGTCCAGTTCCAGGTATGTGAGAGCAGTGCCAGGAGATTTGTCTTTTGCTTTTTGTTCCTCTCCTGATTTCCACACACTGGTTCTCCAAAACAGTCAGGGTGAGATTGAGAGCCCACTGTTTGGGAAATTACAAAGTGCCACAAATTGTCACTTGTTGCTTTGTTTGCTATCTGTGTTCTAAATAAGTATATATGCTTTGTATGTTTTTCAGTACTGTAATATTAAGAATAACTCAGCAACTTGTGCATATTATGTAACTTGGTTTCAAGGTTATTTTAAGATCATTATCTGTTTTTGTTCCTTTAGCCTATATTTGTCGCAATATCGCGTAAAACAATATACCTTGTATTATACTGTTGATTCATTCACTGCTGCTTAGCAACTGGTAGACTTTTAATATGAAAACTTTTAATGGTTGCAAAGTGGTAATTCTAATTATATACTTCTGTTTGAACAAATCAGAAAGAAAGGTTTGTGAAACTACTTGACCAACTACACAATTCACTTCGCATTGACCTGTCCATGTATAGGGTGAGTATAAATGGTGTTAACTATTGAATTGATATAAAGCTCTAAAATACCAATTAATAGATTTCTCAGTAAATCCTGTATTTATTCTACATTATGACAGAGAAGCAGAAAGCCAAGATATAGTTTGATACTGTATATCATCATTGCCTTTGTAATTATTCATTGTAACCCTCCAGTTGAGCTGATTGTGCTGTTTGTATTGTATGGACTCTATGGCTAATTTGTATTATTGAATATTGCAGTTAACTATCACAGTTAGTTATATTAATTAAATATTTAGTACCATTATAAGCTAATGTCATGTATTTGCCAATATTGAGCTGTTTGTTTAAGTCTGTCCAATCAAAATAGTTAAGTTTGGCTGCAGTTCTGCCAGACCCATTCACTGTGGTTCTTTCATGCAAAGAATTTTATTTGTTAGAGGGAGGCCTTTCATTGCTTTCTGATTTGCTTTTCTCCCTGGCTCATCTCCAATCAATTTTCTGAGGTCAGGTGTTATTTGTAATGTGAGGTTCGATCCCAGACACTCAGAGCGCTTGCTGCAGCATCTAAAATAGTCAGTTATTTAAAGTGACAGACGAGATCTCTTTGTGGAGAAGGCCTAACAGCATGAGTCTTTATGACTGGTATGAAGGGAGGGGTGCTTTATCTAAGCCACTCAATTCACTCTATGGCCTTTGGAGCCATTACTCCAGTGTTGGATCTTCTTCGACTTTCCATCAGCCAATCCAGGGAAGCACCCTTAAGAAGGCCAAGAAGAACCAAAATGGATCAGTATACTAGGATCCACCTTCTTACCACAATTTAGATTCTGCTCTAGGTTCTGAGGAAAGGGGTCACTAGAAACAGCCCCACCATTAGGAAAATAAAATCCAGAGAGAAAGAGAATTAGAGCTCATCCTGTTGTTTCCGATGCTTTGCCACCCAACTTGAATTGGGAATTAAATCCAGTCCAGTGTTACTCAGAATTATCTTATTGTTGTGTAATACTATGGTGAAAATGTATGAAAAGTGATATTTTATTTTCTGTCAAGTGGTATGCAGGCAAAAGAGTAGTTTTAGAAGTGTCCAAAAGATGTTAATGTAATTAAAGATTCAGCAGTTGATTTCAATGAAAAGCAATTTTTTTCTGTCAACTGTTCTGAATATATTGTGTACTTGGCATCATTATAGCTGATATAAATTTTTGCATTTTGTTTTGTTGAATCTCGATGTAAATAAAGAAAATTGTTCAGCGTAAGGTGAACACATGCTCATTTGTTCGGAATCTAAAATGCATCTTGGCTTATGTGTTGAAAGTTGAGGTTTGTGGAACACTGTCAAAAGAATTAACATGTATCTTAGAAAGTATCATTTCAATTTTGGGCTTTATTCGCCTCAAAATCATTTGAAGAATTTGAAAGGTTGTTTTATTTAACAGAACAATTTTCCAGCAAGTAGCCCTGAGCGGTTGCAAGATTTGAAATCCACAGTAGATCTCCTGACCAGCATAACCTTCTTCAGAATGAAGGTAATCTCTTTCTACTGTCATTGTATTCTGCAATTTTGAACAAATTTGAACAGTCAATTCACATTCATAAAGGAGGAAATGTCCTCCTGAAGGTAATGATCTATTTTTTATTTTTAATTAACAGCTGTTATTTTTTCATAACTACCTCCCTTTTTAGGAATTCCTTCTGTAATTTTCCCATCGTCAGCCTGCTGACTCTGACCAAAGTCCAGATATTAATAAAATGTTACCAACCTCTCCTGCTTAATCTCTGTAAATTTATTTTCTGATACATTTGTGGAACTCCTGGCCCAATGCTTTGCTGTCAGAAACCAATTTTATTTCCCTTCAACTCTGACCTATCCATACCTCATTGTTACCAACTACTATCTAGAGCCACTTGTCCATCTCTGCCTTTATCAAAAAGAGCTCTGGGATAGTAGGAACTGCCAATGCTGGAGAATCTGAGATAACAAGGTGTAGAGCTGGATGAACACAGCAGGCCAA